CTCGTTAGTCCAGTGGTCTTCCAGTAGTGTGGCTTTTAATCTCCATGAGGTAGGATAGTTCCTTGCCTTCTTTTTATGATTTATTTCTAGTTTGATGCCTTCGTGGTCAGAAAAGATGGTTGGTATGATTTCAATCTTGGTGTATCTGTTGATGTTTGTCTTGTGCCCCAGTATGTGATCGATCCTGGAGAATGATCCATGTGCGCTTGAGAAAAATGTGTACTCCGTTTTTTTTGGGTTTAGTGTTCTATAGATGTCTGTTAAGCCCAAATGCTCTAGGTCCTTATTTAGAGCTTTAGTTTCTTTACTTATTTTTTGTCTTGTTGATCTATCCATTGTTGATAGTGGGTGTGTTGAAGTCTCCCACTACATATGTGTTTTCTCTGATGTCTGTTTTCAGAGAGGACAACAGTTGTCTGATATATTTTGGTGCTCTTTCGTTTGGTGAGTATATGTTAATGAGTGTTATTTCTTCTTGAAGTATTGTCCCCTTAATCATAATGTAGTGACCATTGGGGTCTCTTTTATTTTTTGAGTTTGAAGTCTGTTTTATCTGATATAAGTATAGCTGTTCCTGCTTTCTTTTTTGGCCCATTTGCTTGTAGGATTGTTTCCATCCTTTGACTTTGAGCCTATTTTATCTTTTGTAGCTAAATTGTTTCCTGGAGACAGCAAAAGGTTGGGTTTTGTTTCTTAATCCAGGCTGCAACTCTGTGTCTTTTTATTGAAGAGTTTAGTCCATTTACATTTAGAGTTAATATTGATATGTTAGCATCTGTATTTGCCATTATGTTTGTCTTTCCTTTGATTTTATTTATTTTTCTTTTAATAACTTTTTTTTTTTTTTTTGCTCTTCTTTCGTTGTTATTCGTCCCTCTGAGGGTTCTGGCTTTAGGATTCCCTGTAGTATTTTTTGGAGTGGGGGTTTAGTCGCAATGAAATTCCGGAGTTTCTCTTTGTCTGGGAAGGTCCATATTCTTTCTTCATGGAGGAAAGAGAGCTTTGCGGGATAGAGTATTCTTGGTTGGCATCTGTTTTCTTGGAGTCTGTTGACTATGTCCCTCCACTCTCTCCTTGCCCGTAGTGTTTCTTCAGAGAAGTCTGATGTCAGCCTGATTGTTTTCCTTTGAATGTTATCTGTTTCTTCCCTCTTGTCAGCTTCATTATTTTTTCCTTGTCCTGGATTCTTGGGAGCTTTTACTATTATGTGTCTTGCTGTGTTTTCCTTTCGTCGTGGAAGTTTGGTGTTCTTCTTGCTTCTTGTATATCAATTTTCAGCTCCTTCTTCTCATTTGGGAAGTTCTCTTCAATTATATCCATGAATATTTTCTCTGTTCCTACATCTCTCTCCTCTCCTTCTGGAATTCCTATAACTCTTATATTTCCTTTCCTCATGGAGTCAGATAGTTCCCGAAGTCTTTCTTCATTCTTTTTCCTTCGTACTTCTCTTTCCTTTTCTGTTTTGGTTCTTTTTATTTCTGTGTCTTCAAGATTACTTATTCGTTCTTCCATTTCATCTATTCTGCTTTCATTGCTTTTCCCAGAGTTCTTTAGTTCCTCCATTAATTCTTTGATCTCCTGCATTTCTCTTACTTCCCTCTTTAGGGACTCAATTTCCTTCTTCTGATCTATCACTTTTTTAATCATGGCAATTTTAAATTCTCTTTCTGGAAGGCTCAGAAGTTCTTCCAAGTTGCTGTCGTTGCAATCTGGGAGTGGTTTTCTTTTTGTGGTGTGCTTCTTTCCTGAGGAGTTTTTAGGTTGCGTGTGGTTCTTCTACTCCCTACTGTCTGTTTTCTAATTTGTCGTATGCGTTGGGACACTGTGTTGCTCGGACTGACTGACATCTTGGGTGAACTTCTCCGCTCCCCTCTGGCTCTTCCAGGAGCCATCTCTGTCTTCTGGGGGAGCTTTCTGCTGGTTTTAGGCAGTTTTTACTGAAGAAATGTCCCTGTTCTCAAATGGCGAAGCGGGATGCAGTCCCTGCGCCTCCGGTTTCAGGCACACTCTTCTGCACACCCGGTCTGCCCCGGACGTGGGTGCCTGCTCCCTCTGTGGGCTCAGACTGCTGGTCGGAAGGGGCCTGGCGTGGAATAACTTCCCGGCTGGCCACTGGGTCCTCCAGAAACCTTCTGCCCTTTTCAAGCAGTCTTAAGAAATGTACTGTTTTATAGGGTGTTAGTGACTTTTTTTTTCCTGGTCGCTAGGTGGCGCCAGAGATCTCTCCTATTGTCCTTGGGGGGCTGTTTTTCGCCTCCCCCCACCCCGTGGGACAGAGAACAGAGCGGGAATGGTAGGGTACACCTCAACAGCTTTGGGGTGCTGTGTCTGCCTTGTGCCCCACCGTCGTGGAGAAACCACGCCCCGAATTTTCGTGCCCCGGGTCTCAGTTCAAAGCCCTCAGTTCCAGGACGCGGGCTGTAGCCCAGTTCAGTGGTGCGGGAATGGCGCCTTTTGAACCCCGCTCCCGTGCCTGGGCGCCTGGTTCCTGCTCACTCAGGGAGGGACCTTCACCTCAGTGAGGACCTCCGCGCGTCTCCCCGCAAGCCTAGGTCGTCTCCCCGCAAGCCTAGGTCGCAGGCGCGGGGACCTGGGCAGCCGCGATCCAGGTCTGCACTTGCTTTTCAAGAGCACCGAGCGCGCCGCGTTTCCGCGCAGGCTTACCGGCAGCCCGGGCTGTGTGCGCGTCTCCCGGGGTCTTTGTTCTTCTCTAATGGCGCCCGGAGCCGTTCGCTCACCGCCTTGGCGGATCCTGCAGGGTTCTCCACAGCTCCCGTTCACGGGGTGTGGTGGCTGCAATAGTTCCTTTCCACTCCCAGTCCCGCTTGCTGCGTCGTTTGTTCTTGTGGGTCGTTTTGGTTTGTTGTTTCCTCCTCTCTGCCGGTCGGAGAGTGCCGCCTCTGTGGGCGGGGGAGGGGAGCAGGGTTTTGCGCTTCCCTCCCTTCTAGTCCTCTTTTATGGCCAGAAACTGTATAATTCTTAAGTGTCAATTAAAAGTGAGAGTAAAAGCCCTTAACCTTTATAAAGAGGATAAAAGGCAAAAATAAAGAACTCATTGAGTGGAGACATAAAAAGGAAGAGAATTGAGTATAAAGGCCACTCAGATCAGCAGCAATTTTCTAGGGATAATTTCTGCAATTGCTTTGAAAGGTATCTTTATTCAAATGAGTCTTCCTGAACAGAAAAAAAAAAAATCTCTGAGATGCATCCTTACAGCATAAAAATTCACTGGATCCAGTTCTTGTTGAAGATCAAACAGAATAAGATCATTTGAAAATAGAAGGAATGTACTTTTTAGTCAAATGTAAACATCTCTCTTCCTAGAGACACATTTCATTTTACTGCTGCATTGATTTCCTCTTTTCTGTTACCTTTCTAATATTCTAATTCTAATATGTAAGAATGTGACATCATTAAGGACCACTTGGGAAAATTATGATTGATGGGTGGAACCGCAGGGGTGTGCATGGAGAGCCTGGCAAAATGGGAATCAAAAGCATATGGATCCCCAGATCCTTGGGAAAAGACATAACCATTTTCTCTATAAGTAAATGGAAAACAAGAAGCCTCAAAAAAGATCTCTGTCTTCTATTAACACCAAAGTAAAGCTCGACATTAGAATTTTCCTGAGGAGTAATGTGTGTATAGCCACTCCATTTATCACTAAAAAATCCTTGCAGAATTCTCATAATACTCTACCTTGGCACATTCTCTATACCTACATATGTCTTCTGCTTTATTTTAATTTGTATCACTTATCACTACCTGACATCATATTAACTATCTTATTAACTATCTGTTTATCTTCTGCACCTCACTACAATAAAGTCCCAAGAGGGTAAAGGTGGTTTGTTTTGTTCACTGCTGTGCCCCTAGTATCTGGTACACAGCCTGGTACATAGTAAAAGGTCAATAAAGTTTAGTTGAAGAAATGAGTAGTAAAATTTAAACTTGTAACCACATGGACTGGGTTTACATCATCACAAAGTTTTCTCTGATCACACAAGGTATTTGTAAACTCATGGCTTCAGTTTTACAGCACTACTAGAAAGGTTGGTTAGTTGGATCTGAAAATATCCATATCCTTTGACCAAGATTAAGATTTAACCCAAACACAAAGATTTATGTTTAAATATGGAAGAAGTCATGGAAGTTTTACTTGTAACAGAAAAACTGGAAGTGGTTTAATTATAATAAACAGTAATTATTAATAATTTGACACTTGTAATTTAATGTCAAACAATAGGATAATAGCTAAGAAAATTATGATATATATTATATAGAGTTTTAAATCATATATGTAAAAGCTTAGGATAAATTGCTAGGTAAAAAGAGTAAAATCACAGTTGACTCTATATAGAGTATGAAAACAACAGAGGAATATACCCAAGTTAAATAATACCAAAGTGTTGTAGTTTCCTGGAAAAAAAAAAAATTTTTTTTTTTGCCTACTTAGGCATTTTTTTTCTCCTTTCTGAACTCTCTGAATTTTCTGTGAATGATCTGGTGATAATTTTATAAATGACAGATAAGGAAAAAAAAAACATTATGGTGAGGTTTACTGGTAATTTAACCTTTTTTTCTGGTATATGTAAAATTGTTAATCATATGCAATGAAAACATACAGTTAGATGATACTATGAAGAGAAGTAAAAATTGTTTTATAAATTATTTTTCCCATCAATTACTTCTTTCAAGAAAAAAACTTTTCCGAATAAAACTCTATAAATTAAATTCACTTGAAATTCTTCATGACAAGAATGCATTTGTCAGCATGGCAATATCTAACATTAGAAAGCATGAAAAATGGTTTTAAAAGATTCCACAGCTTCTTGGACTTTGTAAAAATTTTCTTCTTCCTTTAACATGGCAAGTTAAGTGAGGTTTCATGAGAGAAAGAGAAAAATATAGCCTTGGACTTCTTTTGAATCTCATCTTATTTCCAGATTTCAGAGTTCTAATGCTTATCAAATACCAACTTGTTCTTTTTAACCCTTTAGGGCAAGACAAGAAAGAAAGTAAATACCCTGAAGTGCAGAACGGACCAGGAAGGCATGGATACTTCAAGAAGTAAGTTTATTCCCTGACTACATATGACAAGTTACAGCCAAAACTGTTGCTAGATGTCACCTAGAGATTTTATTTTTAAGATTTATTTATTTATTTATTTATACAAGCACTGGGTACAGTCAGAAGTGCGGGAGGGCGAGAGAATTCACCAGAGCCAGAGCAGGGAACAGAGCAGGCAGAAGGACCGAAGTACACTGCTGAGGGGAGCAGCGGGCGGCAGGAGAGGTCTGCGCGCCATGTGGGACCCTCCTCTGGTGGCCTGGGAGCAGCCGGGGATTGAACCGGTGCTGCAGAGGCTGCGGGCAGCTTCGCAACCCAGCGCTCAACCACTGCGCCACCGGGGAGGCCCACCTAGAGATTTTAAAAAAAGTGTTTTTTTATAAGCTTGGGACACTTTGTTCAAAAACGGTATAATTTGATGTTAAAACTTTGTTAATACAGCTTCTCTGGATGTGAGGGGCCTAGAGCCCCACCTATTGTGAAGTTAGTTTTTCTCCTTACCCTGGGGAAATGGATAGAGCTTTGTAGGGGATATAGAAACCCATTCAAACATGGATCTGGTCTTATCCCCACCTTAAACGGATCAGGGGAAATGTGACTAGATAGAAGTAGTGATACACTCAATGCCACACTTGTTGCTTTGTTAAAATATTTTAGCTCATAGTTTTCTAACAAGAAGATCAAAGGTAGGGAAAACACTAGAGAAAATAACAATAAAACAGAATAACTGAGAAGGGAGACCCCAAATTTGACAGTAAAATGTTCTCGCCCAAACTTTTTCTTTTTATATAAAAGGAAATTATGCAACAGAGATTTATTTATGGCTTAGGAAGTAGGATTTTCCTTGATTTTTGCTCCCTTAATTTAGAAAAAGTTGTGAAAATACAGAAAAGCTAGAATAATATAAAAACTACCAAGGGCACATGTTAATCTTTTATCTTCTTTGCTTCTTCTCTATCATATATATGTGTCTGTCAGTGGCTCATAATATCAATATAAGAAAGCAAGCTTCAAAGGTCTAACATCTTTAAACCAGGAGAATCTCCATGAGGATGAACTGAATTATATTATACTGTGAGGTCCTAATGTTTTATAGTACAGAATCAATACATACATATACACACACATCTATGTCTGAAACAACAAAAACAACAAAAAATAAATGTTTATATTTGAAAAATGTAAAATAAAATATTTTGTCTTTATAGTTATTATCTATAATATAAAATTTAGTATTTAAATTTTATATATATATACACACACATATATTTAAATAAAACAAACAACACATTAAGTGGAATTGAAGTCCTCACCATATTTCTTTTTGGCTCATTCCTCTCTCCTTGTCCTTTCCCAGAGGTGAACACATTCATATTTAGCCTGGACCCTTATATCCAATAAATATATTTGTTTGTTTGAACTCATAATAATAGATGTTTATTATCTAAATACTAGTTAACATTTAGTGGGTCTTAACATAGTGGTTATCATGCCTGTTTTGAAATAATACATTTATTTGCTGAGAGAGGCAATTTCAGCAACCTCAAACCTTTGAACAAGAGTCATGAAAATAAAGGCCTTGGATTTCTCAAAACAATTACTGTAAACTGTACTGTGGTTTATTATTTTATTCTTTGGATCCTTATGATCCTCACTGACTCAAACTCATTCAACTTCTTGAGTTTCAGTTATTTGGAAGACTGAAAAGGCTCTTAAAATCAGAGCCAGTAGAAGCAGACAGGATAGCAGAGGCAACAACTGCTGTCTTGAGTTTGAATGAATCCACAAGACCCCAGAAGTTGGTTACCCACATACATGACATTGCATAGAGAAATGTGAAGTTATATTAGGAAGGTACAGATACAGTGTCTTTTAGAAAGATTTCCTAAAAAATGATTGAGATTTTTAAAAATTGCTAATGCTCTGGGGCCTGACAGTCACAGTATTATATTCTGATTCTCTGTATCCCTGTAAAGTGGGAATAATAATACATGCATCTTCCACTTTTTGAAAGTTTGAGTCACACTACTTCAATTTTGCCAGACATCAGTACCTATTTTTGCTAACCAAAGGAAATCTAAAGAGTATTTTCGTTTTTACAACAAAAGGTGAAAGTGAAATGGTGTTGAGCATTGAGTTTTGCAGCAGCTGTTATAGAGGCAAATGCACACTCTGAACAGAGTGCAGCCCTAGCAAGCTCCTTCCCAGGAAACTGCTTTCTATGGACTATGTATGTATCATCTCATTTATGCTTCTGCTGTGTGTTAGTGTGCTTTTTGGTTTTATTGGATATGATTTGGTAGGTTACTTTTTGGCTCTGGAATGTTCACAAAGTTCCATATGAATCAATGGTAGTTACTTCTTTGCTTTATGCCATTTCTACTCAAAAAAGATTTCATAGGAATGCTCTACTTTCAAATAGTGGCTGAAACCTGTAGTACCTACTGCATAAAATGCTGTGAAAATAAAATGAGAGGATCCATGCTAAGCAGTAGAAATAGTACTAGCACAGAGTAAGCACACGATAGTGTTTGATACTAGTAGTAGTAGCAGCAGTTGTAGCAGTTGCAGCAGCAGTAACAGCAAGTAATAGTCTTAGCCACAGTAGTAAGTAATAGGTGTAGTAGTAGTTTTAGCAGCACTGGTAATATTTGGAAAACGAGCCGGTGTGGAAGAGTTCATAACCTCTGATGTGGCTAGAGCACAAACTCTGGGGCCTCTCTTTACTATCTGGATCCTCTGCATCCCTTTGCCAGCTGTATAGACCTAAGGGCAATGACAGTACAAAGGACCTGGGGGTGTGGTGAGCATTCAGTAGGGACTTAAAGTGCTAATGCATTGCTCTCAGAACACATTCAATTAACCTCAGCTATTATAAATACTCCAGATAAATACTACCTTGGTATTTTTAAAGCTCACCCAATTTTTTTTTTTTTTTTTAGAGGCATGTTTTATTTATTTATTTGTTTTTTTTTTTTTTTTTTTGTTTATACATGCACTGGGCACAGTCAGAAGCACGGGAGGGCGAGAGAATTCACCAGAGCCAGAGCGGGGAGCAGAGCAGGCAGAAGGACCGAAGTACACTGCTGAGGGGAGCAGCGGGCGGCAGGAGAGGTCTGCACGCCATGTGGGACCCTCCTCTGGTGGCCGGGGAGCAGCCGGGGATCGAACCGGCGCTGCAGAGGCTGCGGGCAGCCTCGCAACCCAGCGTTCAACCGCTGCGCCACCGGGGAGGCCCTCACCCAATTTTTAAAGTGCAAAAGCAAGCTCAGAATTTCCTTAGAGCAAGAAGTGAAGGGAATCCAGAGGGAGGATCTAATTACATTGATTAGTTTATCTAAGAGCAATTTGTTTGGGTTAAGAAGGACTATATGCAATCGTGGTTATAAATACAGCCCTGTCTAGTCACAGCTCTGCAGGATTATAAGGAGACCAAAAGGTGAGTTCTTTTCTTCTGAAAAGGGGTTACTATCCTCCCTCTAAAATTCTTACTGAAAAAATCATTGTGAAAGAGAGCCCTAGAAGGGGCTCTAAAACCAGTGAATTACAATGACAAATGCTTTTTAGTTCCAAAGTACTTGCACACATACATAGTCAACTAATCTATGACAAAGGAGCAAATAATATGCACTGGAATAAGGACACTCTCTTCAATAAATGGTGCTGAGAAAACTGGACTGCCACTTGCAAAAGAATGAAACTGGTCTACTACATGACACCATACACAAAAACCAACTCAAAATGGATAAAAAGCCCCGAATATAAGACCTGAAACCATAAAATATATAAAGAAAACATAGGCAAAACACTCCATGACACACATCTCAGAAACATCTTTGAAGACTCATCACCCGAAGCAAAGAAAATGAAGGAAAAGATAAACAGCTGGGACTACATCAAACTGAAAAACTTTTGTACAGCAAAAGACACAAAATGAAGAGACACCCTGCAGACTGGGAGAAAATATATGCACTCTACACAACTGATAAGGGACTTATGTTAAAGATCTACAAAGTGCTTAACAGCTCAACAAAAACAAAATAAACAACCTAGTCAAAAAATGGGCAGAAGAGTTAAAGAGACACTTCTCCAAAGTGGAAATGCAGATGGCAAACAGGCATATGAAAAAATTGCTCAATATCACTTATAATCAGGGAAATGCAATTAACATCACAATGAAATACCACTGTACACCAGTAAGAATGGCCCATATTAAAAAAAAAACAAACTGATAACAACAAATGCCGGTGAGAAAGTGGAGAAAAAGGAACACTCTTATACTGCTGGTGGGAAAGTAACTGGTCCAACCACTATGGAAAGCTGTGTGGAGGACCCTCAAATTATTAAAAATGGGTCTACCATATGGCACAGCAATTCCACTCCTAGGAATCTACCCAGGGGACTCAAAACATTAATTCAAAAGGAACATTAATTCAAATTAATTCACATTAATTCAAAAGGAACATTAATTCAAACATTAATTCAAAAACATTTAATTCATTTGTTTATTGTAGCACTATTTACAATAGCTAAGATACGGAAACAACCTAAATGCCCCAAAACAGATAAATGGATCAGAAGAAGATGTGATATATATATATATATATATATATATATATATATATATATACAGTGTAATAATGCTCAGCAATCAAAAAAGATAAACTCATGCCATTCACGCAACATGGATGGGGTTGGAAGGTATTACGCTCAGTGAAATAAGTCAGAAGGAAAAAGAAAACTATTGAATGGTTTCACTTATAGGAAAATCAAACTTATGGGGAACAAGGGGTCAGGAAAAAAAAGACAAAATTAGCAGGCAAACTATAAATCTGAGACATATAGCAGGGAAGGGGCAGGGAGAGGGATTAAAACAGGGGAGACTATGGTGACAATTTACGGTGATTTGGTGGTGGAAATTTTATGGGGATTACACCTTGAGGGAAGAAATTAAACATTATACAAAAATGAACAGTGATGTAAAATAAATAAATAAATTAAATAATACAAATAATGATCTTAAAAAGACAGACAAACAAAAAACAACAAAGTACTTGCAGACACATGAACTCGTCTAACCCTAATAGATATTTATGAGAAAGCCATTATTATCTCCATTTGTCAGAGGAGGAAAACTAGGTAGAGAGAACTGCTCAAAGTTTCTCAATTAGTAAAAGGAGAGTCCAGCTCTTTCCTGCTTCAAGTTCAGAACTTGCATTATCACGCATGGTGCCATGGAAGGTTCACTTGCTGGCATGTACTGACACTGTGGGGACTGTTTCATTTCTCCAACTTTCTTGTTACCTTATTTATTTTATGCCTCTTGGCTCTAAATTCCATGCCCTTACCTTCTACATCATATATGCAGTGTGTGTGTGTGTGTGTGTGGCATGTGTGTACACACACACCCATGCACACACACACAAACACATGCACACATGCTGGAGTAAAATTGATTTTTTTCGCATTTTATTTTTTAAAAATGTATACTTTTAAAAGATGAAAATATTAGATTGAAGCTAAAGACATGTGATTTCAGCCAAATTTTGAGTATAATTAACCACTTGTTTGGACTGAAGCTTGGGAGTAATTCATCTTCAACATGGGACCAAATGCTATTTTGCTTTAAATGAACCCATTTTTTTTCCTTTCTGAAAACATAATCTAATTTCTTTTATTAAAAGAAGAACAAAAAAACTTTTGTTGCCATCTCCAGCTGTCAATCCCGCCTCCCAGATTTTTGCCCTGAGGCAAAAGGAAGGGACATCAGGTGTCAGATCCCAAATTTCAACTAGTTACACAAATTACAGACCTTCCTGTCGTGATGTCCTCTTGACCTTCTGCTTTTCCCCTACAAAGAAGGATGGGACACAGTTTAAATCAAAATGACTCTCATGGGCAATTTTACAAAGCAAATGAAAGGCATAGAATCTTGCCCCCTCCCTCCCTCTTTCCCCCACTTCCTCAGCTTCCCCTGCTGGGCCAGCCTGTTCCTTTTTTCCAGGCAGGCAGGAGCCAAAAATTAGAAAAGACCTCTCCTGCCCCAGACAATGATGCTCTGCTTGCCAAGAGCCCTGTTTGCTTTGAAGAAAGAGTTTGACAACGTAAATATTTACAAAAACAACTCTGGTCAACTGCCAAGTCCCATTTCTAGGGGAGACATGAAGTATTTAAAGAAAGGGTTTCTCTGTGTGGGACCACACTGCCTAGTGGTGGAGACTGATCCAAGGTCTGTCCTGGCCCTGTTATGTGGCCAGGCACATCACAGTCTTTCTCTCAGCCTTTAATTTCCATGCTAGGACACTTTTCACAGAGTTTATGAATAACTGTACTTACCACTGAAGAGTCAATTCAGAAATGTGCCAGTTTGGGATCACAAGAAAGAAGAATCTTTAAGTATTACTGCTACTAACAGTAGGAGAAAGCCTTGTGAAGTGGACGGAGAGGATATTAAAAGCAAGACCGACTAGCACTCAGAAAATATGTCATCAAAAAAAATTTGTTTTGAGGTAGACCACTTACTCCTTAAAACCTAGTCATATTGGTGTAACCTGTAGATCTGCTGTCTATAAAATGGTGGAACTTGAGAACTTAAACATGGTGAGAATCAAAACAGGTGCCCCTGCCTGTTCCCATTATGCACATTAGCGCGTGGCCTTCGCACAGTCTGTTAAACAGCTGAATTTGAAACAATAATGGTGCAGGCCAAACACTAGCCTGAAGGCCTGTCTGTCTTGGGATTTGGCCATTTACACTGATTTTTTTCTTACCCACATTTTTCATGAAACACAAATATTTGCCATGGCAACTGGGGTGTCACATGACCTGCTGCTACATAAACAGCCTGGCAATCTCTTAAGGGGAAATAGCCCACCAGTGCTGAAAATACAGTGACAACAGCTTGAAGATCTGGGCATTGAAAGGTCTGGGAAGAACAGGTAACAGTTTACTATGTAGATGCAGTAGGATTAATTTCTTCTCTGTCACTCTCCAATTTCTCTCTCTCTCTTTTTTAAATGGGAGCAGCTGTAAACATGACCACATAGTGTAAGCCCAGAAAAAGACACTGCCAGCTGTCTCCTTTCTATGGTGAAAAGTTTCAATTATCAAGGCTGTCTGTGGCTCATAACCATGAGAAAGCAAACTGCAAACATCCAGCACCTTTCAACCAGGAGCATCTCCACAAGGGTGAATTATATCGTACTGTGAGGTCCTAATGTTAGAGAATACAGAATTCCTTCCCCCATCCCACTGAGGTATCCTTGCCAAATTGGAAAACTTGCTTTTTTTATCCTATGCTTAAAAACAAATGAAAGACAGTAATGCCCCACACTAGCATACCAATTACTACAATAATAGAGATTGAATCCCAGATTCCTGGACTCTAAACCAATTAGCTATATGGGTTGACCCAGTCATTTCATTAATCTTGAAATAATGAGAAATGATGAAGGTTTTTAGCTCTCACTTATAATGTCATGGTAAAGCTTACTTGTCTAACAACTCTTCCCCCTTTAATCAAAAGCATCCCAGCATCAGGTAAAACAGTATTTATTCCTATGTGAAAGGTACAACTCTATAGTGTTACCAAAAACCACACTGAAAATAGTGCAAATAAGAATGTTCTTGGTTGGTTATAGGAATACCTTTGATTTTCGTTTCTTGGAAGGGAACTTTTTCACTTCTTGGATCAGCTGTGGTTTCTGAGGTAAAGCGAAAGAAGCTGTGGATGGAAGTGATGAGTGTTACCTGGTTGTATCATTGGGTGGATGCTGTTGGGTTTACATCTTGAAATTCAAGTAGTTCTATCACTCACTGATTGTTCATTATCTTTTTTTTTTTCTGTACCAATTCAATGAAACATTTGTGATCATTGATTCCAAAAAGAAAGTCAAAAACTTAAGAGGGCAACAGATCAGCTCACCTTATGCAAACTGCCTGGATGAAAAGGCAAGATCTAAAAGCAGGCAATTTAGAGACTAACATTTGTCTTTTAAGATATTTCACTATAAGATTTCTATAGCCTTAGCTCCAAATTTATATAAAAGGTAAATTAATATAATACATATCATGGAACTATTTCATTGTATAGTCATTAAAAAGATGATTCTAAAGAACTTAAATGACTTGGGGGAAATAATATGAGTGAAAAACAGTCCATATTATTCTTGAAATTCATTCAGTCTTTAAGCAACAACTTATGGAGGACACATCTGACCCACTGGGGTGGGGGTAAGGCAGCTGGTAGGCCTACATACTAGTCAAAACTTAGGAAAGAAATTACGTCTCTTCTTGTTTCCTGGTAGCAAAACTCAACTGCCCTTAACAAACAGCCCATGTCTGACATTCTCAGTGTGTGTGTGGGGGGATATTCCTTACACCACTCTTTCCAATAAAGAAAACAAATAATTTATTAAAATAGATGACTGAGTCAAGGAAGTGAGGTTTTTTGTTCCAACTTACCTTTTTAGTTCATCCCTTTCTGTCAATTCCATAACAACAGTCTTAGAAAGAATCAACAAATATGGATCAAATGCAGCAAACCTCAGCAAACAATTTAGAATCCCACCTTAAGGTGTCAGTTTTCTTACATTACTTCAAGTGCCTACAAGGAGTATCTTAAGCCATCTCTGAAAAAGTTGTATCAGAGTCTTATTGCTAAAACATGCCTCCACAAAAAGGATTAGTATGTTGCATCTGACCAACCAAGACTGACCGCCATTTTAGTTTTCTTGCTTTCCAGCGAACCTTCCTGACTCTCCTCTCCCCTTCCCAAGCCTGGGCAGTTGGCAATAACCTATGAAGACTTCATTTTAAACCTATCGCAAGTTTTTGTTTTGACCTCTGTGCTCTTCTGGACCATTGCCTGCTTGGACTGTGCACTCCCACTGCTGAAGGCCAGTTCACACCCTGCACCCAGGCTGCTTTGAATCCACACATTCGTCCATTTCTGTTATCTGCAACTTTGGCACATTTTTTGTTTAACTTTTAGGTGTCTGCAGACAAGTAAGATTTACGACGAATTTCCAGGCTGAAACAAATAGTAACCGAGAAGTTTTCAAGTGGTCATAGTTTTAAAAGAATTTTTGTAAAATTTTAAAGAAATTTGGCAGGCTAAAGATCTAAAAAATTTGTAATTTCACATGGATAATCCTGTTAATGGTATCTCTGAATTTTTTTAGTTTTTCTTAGTTGCCTGCAGAAATTATGTCATTAAATTATAATTATGTATAGCCTTGGATTTTATGGCACACATCCATTTGAAGAATGTGTCTGCATCTTCAACAAAACTGTATCCTATGACACTTATTTGCTACTCAGGTTCCTGGAAAAATCTGTATGATAAATTTTTACAGAGTTTGTGTCAGGGGGAGAAAATCTTGCCTTTCTGGACCAACTCATATGCTTCTGTGGTAGTTACTGATAACATACTAGTGAAGTAGCTATCTCCTTTTTCTTCTTTGCTAATTTTAGAACCACAATTATTTCACATTAATAATATACCCAGCTCCCAGGGCTGCCAGATTTAGCAGAAAACAAAAATTAAAAAGATATAAAAATATGCACCAAATATTAAATCTATTTAATATCCAAGAAAAGAGTAGAATTTTCATGAATTGATTGACCAAGCTTATTTGAAAAAGTATTAAAAGTATCACATCCCATCCTAACCCTAGCCTTATCCCTATCCCTGTCTGTGGGCATTCACTTTCCCAGTTTTGTAGCTAACAGTGGCCATGTGACCAGTGAGATGTAAGGGGTAGTCCATTCAAGGGCTTTTGTGAAGAGACTGGTACTTCTATTTTTCCCTCTTCCTGCCTAGAATGTAATAATAAGATCCAGATCTGCAGCAGCCATCTTAGAGCCATGAGGTGCCAAAGCTTGAAGATGAAATCAAACTTGCTAAAGAAGGTGAAGCAGCAGGAGCGCCATCATGACCCTGAACAGCTTCACCAGCCCTAGACTACCTACTTCTTCATTTCTTTTGTTGAGACAAATGAACCTCATTTTTGAAGCCACTGGTAGGTAAGCTGCACTCATGTACATTCCTGACAGATAACTCTCTCTCCCTTCTTCTCACCATTCCTTCTTTGTCCTTTTGGGTTTGCTAAAGCATCAGGACAAGGTTTAATAGTGGTAGCAGTAATGGTTATCCTTGAATGATCTCCACTTTTAATGGAAAAAGAATGCTTCTAAAGTTTCACAAAAAGACATTGCTAGCTGTCTTCTTTCTATGGTGAAAAGTTTCAATTATCACAAGACTATTTTACTGTTTTTTCAAGGTGGCAATTTGGATAATTAACTGAAGTCTTTCTTCTTTTCTAATGTAAGCATTTAATTTATAAATTTCCTTATAAACACTACTTTAGCAGCAGCCTACAAATTTTTTTTTTTTTTTGTGAGACCCTCGCTGGCGGCCAGGGAAAGACCCGGCGCTGCAGAGGCTGCAGGCAGCCTCGAAGCCCAGCGCTCAAGCGCTGCGCCACAAATTTTGACATATAATTTTCATTCAATTCAAATTTTGACATATAATTTTCATTCAATTCAAAATATTTTTAAATATCTCTATGATTTCCTCTTTGACCCATGGGTTATTTAGAAGTGTGTTGTTTAATTAAAGTATCTGAGATCTTCAGATATTTTTCTATAATTGGTTTTCAATTTAGTTTTGTTATAGTCAAAGAACATACTTTGTATAGTTTCAATTCTTTTAAGCTTATTAAATGCAGAATATGGACTATCTTGGTCAATGGTCCATGTACATTTGAAATGAATGTGTGTTCTGCTACTGTGTTTTAATATTCTATAAATGTGTTAATGTTGGTTGATAGTGTTGATCAAGACTTCTATTTTGTTACTGGTTTTATTTGTCTCTTTGTTTACTAGTTCTATTGACTATTATGAGAAGATTGTTGAAATACCCAGCTAAAGTTGTGGATTTGTCTATTCTTTAAAGTTTTTTATGTTTGCTTTATGTTTTGAATCTGTTGTTAGGCACATAAACTTTCAGGATTATTATGTCTGATTACTGAATTGACCTTTTTATGATTGACATCTGTTTCTATCTGTGCTAATAATGTGTCTTGTTTGTTGATGTTGATGGATCCAATACAGTTTTCTTTGATTATTTTTTGCATGGTATATAATTTTCACCCTTCTTCTTATTAATTTTTAATTTACATAAAAATATTATTGAGTGAAGCATGTGCTTAAATGGAAGTGAGAAAATGTACCCCCAAAGTTATATAGATACATAAACAATACATTAATTAAAAAATATTGTAGTATATTTGACATATAACAAGAAGTGTATTTCAGGCGTGCAACCTAATGATAGTTACAAAATCTTTTTCTTGGGATGATAACTTTTATGATTATACTCTTAGCATTTCAAATATGAAATACAATATTGCCAACTAGATGGTCACAAAGCTATACATTATAATTCCTACCACTTATTTATTTATTTATTTATTTATTTATTTATTTATTGCAAATGTTTTCTCCCACTTTATTGGTTGACAAAAATAGACTTTTTAGAGCGGTTTTAAATTCACAGCAAAATCCATTAGAAAATACAATTTTTATACACCCATTGCCTTCCACCCCCACGTGCACACCCTCCCTCACTATCAACATCCTTCTGTACCAGAGTGATATATTTGTTATAATTAATGAAACTATATTGACACATCATTGTCACAAACTCTATAGTTTACATTTGAGTTCACCCAATGTAGAGTTTTGTATATTCTATGGGTTTTGACAAATATTTAATGATAGGTAGCCCCCATTGTAGTACAATACAGAATAATTTCACTGCCCTAAAGATCCTCTGCACTCACCTTCCACCAATCTCTGGCAACCAGTGATCTTTTATTTATTTGTTTATTTTTATTTTTTTAAAGATGTATGTTTATTTATGCACCACTTATTTATTTTGTAACTGCCAAGCTTGTGCTTTTTGACTCCCTTTACCCATTTCGCCTACGTTCTTCAGCCCTCCACCTTTGGTAACTACATATTTGTTCTCTATACCAATGAGACTGATTATTTTTTAAAATTCTGCATGTAAGTGGGATGATATGGTATTCATCTTTCTCTGACAAATTACTTTTAATTTACATTTAATTGATGACCTTTCCAATCATTTATTTTTGAGTTCCATCTCTGGCTCCAAAGTGATTGCCCATCACATCTGTATCCCAACTATCCAGAGAAGAAGGGAAGGAAAAGGGGGAGGCCATGCTCCTTTCCTCTTAAGGACATAAACCAGAAGTTTCTCTTTCTACTCTGCTTTCATCCTCATTGTCCAAAACATGGTCGCATGGTCCACCTAGCTGAAAGGAAGCCTGGGAAATGTTGTCTTCAGTCTAGCTGACATGTGCCCAGCCACAACTCTATTACTGTGGAAGTAGGAAAGAATGAATATTGAGGACAACTTGCAGACTCTGTTCTAGCCCACATCATATGATCCTTGTCTACCTCTCCAGCCTTAATAGCCTAACCCTTCTACTCTCCCTTGCTCTTGGCCTCCCAGTCACAGTAACCTTCTTGCTCATTCCCTTCTTAGTCTTCAGAGTCTTCGTATCTGTGCTGTCCTATATTGGAATGCTCTTTGCTAGATATTTATATCACTGGCTCCTTTTCATCATTTGAATCATAACTCAAGCCTCATACATCTTCTGAAAGGCATTCCATGATCCTTCCCTTACAAAGTAACCATCTCCTATTTATATCTAATCCATTTTTAATAGTACTTATCACTAGCTTAAATTTTCATTTACTTACTTGTATATTATTCATGTCTTCTGCTAGAATATAAGCACCATGAGACCAGAAATGCTGTCTGATTTATTCTTTGTTGGATCCCAGCACTTAAATGCTATCTTAGATAAAGCAAGAATTCAACAAGTATTTGTTGAAAAGATGAATTAATTTAGCTAAAACCACTCGTAAGCAGGAAAGCTGGGGCCCAGAGAAAGTAAATGACTTGCCTGAGGTTCTACAACTAATTAGTAGATTCCCAGGTTGGTGCTTTTCTCAAACACCTTATTTCATCCAGATTCCTCTTTGAAACCTTCTATTATCTGATGCCCCATTAATCATTAGTCTGAACTCCACAGCACTAAACTTTAATATCTATTTGGTTTTTAGTCCATTCTACTTTGTATTATTATTCATTTTTTATTATATCTGTTTTGTTTGCCCAACTACGCTGTACGTCCCTTGAAAATGCTGGCATGCCTTGTTTGCTGTACTTTGCTGCACTCAGTAGATACTGTACCTTTTACAAATTCAGACACCATGAATTGCACCTACGTATATCATGGCAAACTTAATCTATAAATGGTGTGTGTATTCTCTCTGCTTCACTGGCCATTACCCAATCTCTCTCTCTCTTTCTCCCCCATACTCTTAAGCTTTCCTATTCCTTGAGACATAGCAATACTGACATTGGGTCATTTAATAATCCAATAATGGCCTCTAAGTGTACAAGTGAAAGGAAGAGTTACACATATATTACTTAAATCAAAAGCTACAAATGAGGAAGCAGAGTGAGGAAGACATGTCAAAACAAGGCAACACAGGTTGCATGGCCTTTTGCACTGAATAGTTAGCTAAGTTGTAAATGCAAAGAAAAATTTCTTTTTTTTTTTTTTTTTTTTTTTTAATTTTTTTTTTTTTTATAGAGGCATGTTATTTATTTATTTGTTTGTTTGTTTGTTTTGTTTATACATGCACTGGGTACAGTCAGAAGCGCGGGAGGGTGAGAGAATTCACCAGAGCCAGAGCGGGGAGCAGAGCAGGCAGAAGGACTGAAGTACACTGCTGAGGGGAGCAGCGGGCGGCAGGAGAGGTCTGCGCGCCATGTGGGACCCTCCTCCAGTGGCCGGGGAGCAGCCGGGGATCGAACTGGCGCTGCAGAGGCCGGTTAGCTTCGCAACCCAGCGCTCAACCGCTGCGCCACCGGGGAGGCCCAGAAAAATTTCTTGAAGTAAATTTAAAGTGTTACTTTAGTGAGCACATGAAATATAAAAAGTGAAACAGTCTTTTTGTTGATATGAATAAAGTTTTAGTGATCTGTATAGATCATATCAGTCACAGGATTTTCTTAAACCAAAGTCTAATCCAGAACAAGACCCTAAATCTCTTCTACAAAGTCTGAGAAACTGTGGGGAAAAAAAGTGAGGAAACTGTAGAAAAAAAAATTAAAGCCAGCAGAGGTTGGTTCATGTGGTTAAGGAAGGAAGCTATCTCCATAAAATCACCTGTGAAGCAGCAAGTGCTTATGTGGAAGTTGCAGCAAGTTGTCAAGATTTTTAATTTATAGAGGTATCTAAGTAACAGACTTTCATAGCTAGAGAGGAAAAGTCAGTGTACAACTTCAAAGCTTCAAAGGACAGTTTGATCCTTTTGCTAGGGGTTAATGGAGCTCATGACTTTAGGTTGAAATCAATGATCATTTATCATTCTCAAATCCCAGACCCTGAAGAATCATGCTAAATCTACTTTGTGTTATGCAAATGAAACCATGAAGTCTGGATGATAACACATCTGTTAAAAACATGGCTTACAGAATATTTTAAGGCCACTTTTGAGAGGTACTGATCAGAAAAAAGAGAAAAAGATTTCTTTTAAAATATCACTGCTCATTGACTATGTACCTGGTCACTCAAAAGCTCTAATGGAGTTGTACAAAGAACATAATGTTGTTTTCATGCCTGCTAACACAGCATCCATTCTGTGGTCTATAAGTCAAGGGGTCATTTCAAACTTCAAGCCTTATTATTTAAGAAATACATTTCATAAGGCTAAAGCTGCCATAGGTTGTGATTCCTCTGGTGGGTCTGGGCAAAGTAAATTGAAAATGTTCTGGCAAGGGTTCACTATTCTAGATGCTATTAAATATATCAGTGATTCATGAGAGGAAGTCAAAGTATCAATATGCATGAACAGGAGTTTGGAATAAGTTGTTTCCAACTCTCATTGGATAACTCTGAGGGGTTTGAGACTTCAGTAGAAGTGATTGTAGATGTGGTAGAAAGAGAAAGGACTAGAAGAAAGAAATAGAATTAGATGTGGAATCTGAAGATGTGACTGAACTGCAGAAACCTCATGATCAGAGTTTAAGGAGTAAAAAGTTGCTTCTTATGGATGAGCAAGGAAATTGGTTTCTTGAAATAGAATCTACCCCTGGTGAAGATGCTGTGAACGCTGTTAAAATGACAGCAAAGAATTTATAAATTACTTTTAAAACTAGTACAGGGTTTGAGAGGACTGACTTCAACTATAGTGCATAAAATGCTATGAAATGGCATTGTAAGCTATAGAGAAATCTTTTGTAAAAGGAAAAGACAAGAGTCATTGTTGTCTTACTTTAATAAATTACCATACCCACCCCAATCTTTAGCAACCACTATCCTGATCAGTCAGCACCTATTAACACTGAGGCCAGATCCTCCACCAGCAAATAGATTACAACTTGCCACTCAAATGATAGTTAACACTTTTTAGCAGTAAAATATTTTAAAATTAAAGTATGTACATTTTTGTAGACATAATGCTATTACACACTTGATGAACTGCAGTATATGTTAATGTAACTTTTACATATTCTGGGAAACAAAAAGCTAATTTGACTCACTTTGTTGTGATATTTGCTTTGTTTTGGTAGCCTGGAACTAAACTTGCAACATCTCTAGGTTTACCTGTACAACCTTTTAACATGGAAAAGTACAGACTCTAGAAAAATGTCTTATTAACTAATATTACTTTATTTGGTACAGTTAAATTCAGAATCATTACAACTTTCAATTTGTCCTGTTATTGAAGATAAAAGTTGATTACTAGAAGACTAAATTTTGGTGGGAAGTAATTTCTGTGTATCCCCAACCAACTTAGCATATAGTTGAGACTTGACTTACAGGAAGTTGGAATCGTAAGTGATTCATGAAAATTATGCAGAGGAGCAGCTCTGGGCATAATGGGTGGATTTTGAAAGGTAATCTTTGCTGTTGGTGGAATCAATCCTCGTTCTATCATACTTAAAATCCCTAAAAAAGAAGGTTAGAAGAATATGAGTTTAACTCCAAACATTTCCATGAAGTCTGAGCTCTATGAATTTCGCAAGTGTAACTTACTCTATTTATCCTCATATTTGTGAGAGTACATATAATGCCTTAATCCTTTGCCTGAAAAAATAGCTACAACACATGTTTATTTGAACCTCATATTCTAACCCAAGGGGAAAAAAAGGCATTTCAAATAGTGATATTATGAAATAACTTGTACCAATATAGTTCATTTCATTGTAAGGTAGAAATATAATTTCAAGGCAAACTAAAATTTATTTATAATTATGATATTTTCAATTTCAATTATTGATCATATTCTTTTAAAAATTCAGAGAAATCAGGTGTGAAATCTTAACAATTAAGATCTTTTGTTCTTCAAGAAAGAAAATCAATGTGCTTGAAATCACTGTCCTATTAGTACAATGAATCATATTTTGTAGAGGAAAGTTATTTTTAGATGTTTCTCCTATCACAAGAAGATGTGAATGACCTAATAGGTTGTTTTAGTGTAACTGGACAATATGGTTAATTAATGCAACGATTTTACAATACTTAAAACTCATTCTGTGTCAGTATGGCACAATAAGGTTTTGCCAATGCTTTTTAGGGACAGGATATACTGTTTTAAAAAAAAAGTAAACAAATGACTAAGTCAATGAATAATTGAACAAACTGCTGTCTGGACCAAAATCTTTCATTTAGGTAGATCTATTGTATTGAAACTAGAAACCCAGGAACTTGGGCAGTGCTTGACATAGCTTCTGATAGTGCTTTAGTTTCTTGGTGCTTTCATACAAAGAAGGAAAAGTAAAGAATTCTGGGTATACAAACTATGTGCCAAGATGGATTAAGTTTAAGAAGCTGGAAAACATTGTAACAGGGACAAATATTATTTCCATTTGCCTTCTGACCTCTAGTAAGTATATAATGTTATTAAGCAGGTTAGTCTAGTGTTCTAGGAATTCAGAGGAATGATCACTGAGGGATTAGAGAGCTGGCAGAGACCTCACTTGTAAAACAATGATTCCAAAAAGAAATCTTTAGTGTACTTACCACAGAATCATTTGGTGGGAGACTTTCTCATTAAAAACGGAGACTCCTGGGCCCCACACCAGGCTTTTGTGATTTCCTGAGGTCAGGACCTGGGAATCTGCATTATTCAGGCCTGAGGAGATGCTTATACATGGTAAAGAACCTCTAGAATTGGAGTCTGCTAATCTATCTTTAAATAAGCATTCCATGTCAATCTTTGTTATTTTTGACTTAGGAACTACTGATCCAGAGTATAACTCTTCAAAGCCTTTTTTTGAATTAATACTTCAGGTTTGATTTTTATAGTTACAGCTTTAAACTACTTTAAAATATTGACTAATTATTTGATCTCACAAATATTTCCACCTATAAATATCAAAGCTCATTTCCAAGAATTACACATATTTTGCACTTGTGAGAAATAGAGCTCCTTCTAATTCAATATATTTCCATAATGTAATGGAAGAAAAATTTCCTTCTACCCTTCTAGATTCTTTGACTGGTCTAACAATTAGTTAGAGTCTCAGAGATTATCTGAAAGTAGTACTTGAGCAGTCAAAAGTAAAATCTTCACAACTCTGTAAAGATTAAGATTGATTTATTTAAAAAACTGATTGTAATGAAAATAAGTCATTCGTAGATATGAAAATAATTTTTTTCTGTTGAATGGACACTCTTCCTTCTCACAGAAAAGCCAATTTTGTATCAATTCACTGATTTATTTCAATATTCCTGATCTACAAGTATGTGTTCTTTGGATTTTCCTTTAAAACATTTGTAACATGTTTTGTATTTTTAACAGCTGTGACATCTTATAGACCCTCTCTTTCAACTGGCAGGTTAAATAAGCAAGATATTTTGACGTGTTCATTTTATATTGGCATGAGAGTCATGATTTTACCTGTTTTTGAAAATTATTTGTAATGCCATTGTGTCTTTAAATCTTCTGAACATTTATTTTCTTGTTGAATCAATTAGGAATTAGAAGTTTATTTATTCTGTCATTTCTTCAGCCTATATTTTTTAACTGCCTATTATGTGTCAGGAACTATGCTTGGATGCTGGGGATAGAGAGACATCAGGGACCCTCTAGTAGTATAGAGATGATATTAAATGAATTCACAAATAAATTATAATTACAAATTGTGATCATCTGTGAAGGAAAAACACAGATGCTTGAGAAGTGAGGCATTGTAAAAGCCTGATGTGTTTGCCCTAGTAAGGATAGAGAGAAGTGCCATTTATCTGGAGTACAGAGAAAGCAGAGTGAGATGTCAATGGAGGTAAGGTCCAGACCTTGTTTGTAAAGTTTAGAGTCTATTCTATAATCAGAAAGAACAACTCTGAGGTCACATAAGGCCTGAACTGAAATTTAGTTTGTGTACTATAAGACTTATATTCATAACCATTGAAAAAGAATAGAATTGAAAGTTTTGGAGTTTTTTTGAGAACTAGAAGGAGAAGAAAAAGCACTTGGAGTATGATCTACCTCCAATAGGAAAGGCAACATAAAAGATAATACATCTCCCAGAAGTGGAAAAGAGATGGGGAATAGAGAGCTTAAGAAATAGTAGAGGAAAACTTTCCCAAACTTGGGGAAAGAACTAAATATAGCCACCTAAATGTATATTTCCATGATGTAACGGAAGTCATTATAATAGTTACCATAATTGTCACCTAAATGCATTGACGCCTAACCAAGACACATAGTAGTAAAACTACCAAGAGTTCAAGACAAAGAGGAATATTGAAGGTGGTTAAGAAAAATGTAGGTAATTTATAAAGGTGTTCACATCATGCTTTCATCAGATTTTCAGCAAATACTCTATAGACCAGGAGAAAATGGGATGATATATTCAAAATATTCAGAGATTAAAAATTGCCAGCCAAGAATACTATATTCTGCAAAACTCTCATTCAGATAGGAAGCATATGAAAAAAAAATAAATGCTTGCCAAGATAAACAAAGGACTTTGAAGGACATTGCCAACACTAGAGCTCCCCTACAAGGAATGTTGAAAGGAAGTTTCCTATATAAATCAACAAAAATGAAAGCAACAAAAAATTCAACAAGGAAATAAATAGAACCAGAAACTACACACAAAATGGCAGTAGTAAGCCCTCATATCAATGGTAAATAGACTTAACTCATCAATTAAAAGACACAGAGCAGCTAGTTGGATTAGAAAACAAAATGCAACTTTCTGCTATCTCCAGGACACTGTTTCTGAGCTCAAACAATAAACATAGGTTTGAAGTAAATGGTTTGAAAACATTCCTACAAGCAACTGGTGCCCCAAAAAAAGGGCAGGGTCAAACACACTTATATCAGATAAAATGGACTTCCAGCTGTAAAAGGTGACAAGAAATATGGATAAAGATTATCCAATGATTTATGGATCAATTATGATGAATCAGGAATGCATTCATCAACATATGAGCATCAAAATGTATAAAGCAACCATTAACAAACCTCAAAATAGAGATTGACAGCAAGATAATAGTAGTAGGAAACCTCAACAACCCTCTTACATCATGGACAGATCAACCAGTCAGAAAGTGAATAAAGAAACAGCAACTTAAAGCAAGGCATTAGATCAGATGGACTTAATAGACATCTACAGGGCATTGCATTCTGAGACAGCTGGCAACACATTCTTCTCAAATATGCATGGGACATTCTCGAGGATAGACCACATGTTGGGTCACATAGTAAATGTTAATAAATTAATGAAGAGTGAAATCACATTGTGACTTCTCTGACAACAATGGTATCAATCTAGAAATCAACCACAAAAATAAAGCAGGACAGGGCCTCCCTTGGTGGCGCAGCGGTTGAGCGCTGGGCTGCGAGGCTGCCCGCAGCCTCTGCAGCGCCGGTTCGTTCCCTGGCCACCGGCGAGGGTCCCACCAAAAAAAAAAAAAAGGCAGGACAGACCTCAAACTTGTGGAAACCAAACATGCTACTGGTCAGAGTAGAATTTTAAAAATACCTGGAAACAAACAAAAATGAAAACACTAGCTAGTAGAACCTATTGGACACAGCAAAAGTAATACTAGGAGGGACATATATAGTAACACAGATCCATATCATGAAACAAGAAAGATCTCAAATAAATAATTTTCTACCTTAAGGAACTAGAAAAAGAAGAACAAGTGAAACCAAAAGCCACCAGAAATACAATAATAATAATAATTAGAGCACAAATAAATGAAATAGAAATAAAAAAATGAATGTATGAGGCCAAATACTCGTTCTCTGAAAGATAAATAAAATAAACAAACCTCCAGGTTAGGCTCACTAAGAAAAAAAGGGAGAAAACTCTAATAGAATCAGAAACAAAAAAGAAGTTACCAGAGACAGCTCAGAAACAGGATCATAAGAAACTAGCATGAATTTCTTTATGCCAATATATTGGGCAACCAAGAAGAAATGGATAAATTTTTAGAGATATACAACCTTCAAAGAGTGAATCAAGAAGAAATAGAAAACCTGAACAGACCAGTTATAAGCAAGGAAATTGAAGCAGTGATCAAAAGTCTCCCAAAAAACAAAAGCCCAAGACCATATGCTTTCACTAATGTTTTCTACTACATGTTCAAAAATAAACTAGTATCTCTCCTTTTCAAACTCTTCCAAAAAAGCTGAGTGAGAAGAAATGCTTCAAACACATTTAATGAGGCCAACATTCCTCTGATATCAAAATCAGACAAAGACATTACAAAAAACCTCTAAACTAATACACTTGATGAATGTAGACACAAAAATCTTCAACAAAATCTTAATAAAACAAATTCAACAATACATTAAAAGGATCACATATCATGACAAAGTAGCATATTTATTCCAGAGATGCAATATGGTTCAACATATGCAAACTGGTCAATGCAAACTTATTACATCAACAAAAGAAAAAAAAAAGATCATATGACCATAGCAATAGATGTTAAGAAAACATTTGACAATAATGCACATCCTTTTATAATAAAAATTATCAGAAAAAGGAATAGAGAGGTACACCTGAAAATAATAAGGGCCATGTATGACAAATTCATAGCTAACATCACACTCAATGGTGAAAACTGAGTACTTTTCTTCAAAGATCAGGTACAAGATTATGATATCCACTTTCAACTCTATTTTTCAATATAGTACTGGAGGTCCTTGCTAGAGAAATATGGTAAGAGAAAGATATAAAAGGAAGCCCAAATTGTGAAAGAAGTAAAACTATTGCTCTTTGCAAACATGAGATATACATAGAAAACCCTAAAGAGTCCACAAAAAAAAACTTTAAGAAATCATAAATCTGAAGTGGTAAGCCACAAAAATCTCTCACATTCCTAAACACAAACAACAGTCTCAAAGAGAAAGAAATGAAGAAAACAGTCCCATTTATAGTTGCATCAAAAAGAATTAAATGCCTAGGAATAAATTTATCAAAGTGGATGAAAGACCTATACAATGAAAACTATAAGACATTATTAAAAGAAATAGATGACACCAAGAAATGAAAAGAGATTCCATGATGTCAGATTGGAAAAATTAACATTGTTAAAGTGGTCATCCAATCCAAAGCAAAACATAGATTCAATGGAATCCCTATCAAAGTTCCAATGTCATTCTTTAAAGTAATAGAGCAAATATTACTGAAATTTAGATGAAATCACAAAGGATCCCAAACAGTAAATCCTGATAAAAAAGAGCAGCGGTATCACACTTCCAGACTTCAAATTATACTATAAACTATAGTAGCTGAAACAGTATGATAATTGGACTAAATATGGAGACACAAATGGTATTAAGTCCAGAAATATACTCACACTTATTTGGACAGTTAATTTATAACAAAGGAGCTAAGAATATACAATGCAGAAAGAAAATTCTCTTCCACAATTGGTGTTGGGAAAACTGGACAGTCACTTGCAAAAGAATGAAGGAGACCACTACCTCACACCGTATAAAAAATTAAATAAAAATGAATTAAAGACTTTAATGTAAGACCTGAAACCATAAAATACTTAGAAGAAAACATAGACAAAACACTGTGATATCAGATTAAGAAGATGAAACTGACTCCAATGGCAAGGAAAACAAAAGCGAAAATATACAAATGGAACCACACATCAAATGAAAAAGATTTCTGCACAGCTAAAGAAACCATTATTAAAGTGAAAGGACACCCTACTGAATGGAAGAAAACATTTGCACATCAAATATCTGACAAGGAGCTATATCCGAGATATACAAAAGAACTCATACAACTTAACAAAAAGAAAACCAGTGAAAAAGTGGGCAGAAGATCTGAGTGGACACTTCTCCAAAGAAGACATAGAGACGGCCATATGAAAAATGCTCATCATCACTTATCATGAGGAATTTTAAATCAAAACCACAATGAGATACTATCTAACATCCATGAGAATGATCCATATCAAAGAAGACCAGAAACAGAAAGTGTTGGTGAGGGTGTGGAGAAAAATGAACCTCTTACACTGTTGATGGGAATGCAGACTAGTCCAATCCCTGTGGAAAGCAGTATGGAAGTTTAAAAAAATATTTAAAATAGATCTACCAGATGATCCAGCAAATCCACTCTTATGTATTTATCTGAAGAATGCCAAAATATATGCACAACTATTTTCACTGCAGCACTATTTACAATAATCAAATTATGGAACAACAAAATGCCAAAGGACAGATGAGTAGGATAAGATGTGGTACATAATCACAATGGAAAACTACTCAACTTTAAAAAAAAAAAAAGATTGAAACCTTGCCATCTGCAGCAACATAGTTTGAACTGGAGGGAATTAGCTAAGTGAAATAAGTCAGAAGGAAAAAGACAAATATTGGGTGACTCCACTCAGATGTGGAAATAAAAAGACATAACAAAGGAACAGACAAAAATCAAATATGACTGTAGAATTGAAGCTGCTAGCGAGGACTGGTGAAGGTACGGGTGAGGAGAAAAGGGCAGAGAGAATCCAATGGCCTCAGGTGGAGGATTATAGACATGATGTGGTAACATATATCTGATGAGGTGTGAAACTATACCCCTAAATGATACATGATGATATAAATCAGTGTTCCTTTGATAAAAATTAATTCAATTTTCAAAAAAAAAAAAGCAAGAAATAGAAAACTTGCTGGAGTTACTTAATATTCCCAGGGAGTAAATATTATGTAAACTAACTGAAAGCATATGTCATACAGATTTCTGAGCAATATTGGCTTATCAGTAGGAAAGTAATTGTTGTAGTTGTGGAAGCTTAACAGATTAAGAAACTTATACTGGGTTCTTTTGCATTTTGCCATCCCTCTAACACCAGGTCAGCAGGCAAAGGATTACCCAAGTTGCAAGACGTAGATTTTGACTCTCCAGATGCCCAAAGAACCCTTGAGAACCAACTTTAAATTACTTCAGGCAAGAGATAGAAAGTGAGATAGGGATAATTAAAGACTATAACACTTGGTTATTTTTGCGATCCAAAAGAGGATCCACTTAAACATTCTTTAACACTTCAGACAGTTAAATTAAGCAGCAGCAGCGATACATATGAGATTTACACTTAGGACTCTCAGTCCTTACTCATTCACTTTTCATTTATGTATTCATTCAACCAAATATAGTATTTCCAAAATGTTTGATGTGGTTGTACACACTGGAGATACTGAAATAAAGATGATATGACCTTATCTTCTAGCTTTTAAAAACTAGAAATGCCTGATTTCTTTTTTTTTAATTTTATGTTTATATTCCCCATACAATTGAGATCCCCTTATTTTGACCCCAATCTCTCCTCCCCCCTCCCCCCCATAGTGTATCTCTGGTTCATAGTTGTTTGGGGATTTTGATTTTTGATTTTTGATTTTGATTTTGATTTTTTCTTTCTTATAGTATTCTTTTTCCTGGTCCCTTATTTAGGTTTTCTAGATTCCTGCTATGAGTGAGACCATCCAGTATTTTTCTTTTTCTTTCTGGCTTATTTCACTGAGCATGATCCCTTCCAGCTCCATCCATGTTGCTGCAAATTGCATATATTTATCTTTTTGAATGCTGAGTAATATTCCATTGTGTATATGTACCACATCTTCTTGATCCAGTCATCTATTTTTGGGCAAGAAATGCCAGATTTCTCAAAGACTGGAATTTACATGAAGATAAGCATGGTTTAAATGCTAATTACATGAGTTCTGACTTTATATTTTTGCATAATAGCATATTGAAATAAAAATTTAAATGCTGCCAGAAATAGCATCAAACACTATCTTCTTAGATGCTTGAAAAATTCTAATATCACTTAAACACAATAATAATTTTAATATGTATCGCCAACATCTAAATCAATATTAAATCCATAGAATGATGGAAAGTAATGCTAGTTGGTCATCTAGTCCAAACTTCTGTTTTTCAAACGTGAGTCCTCGGGCAGACTGAGGATTTGACTTACCTGAGTTCACCAAGGAGAATTACTGGCTGAGCCAGAATTTAATTCTTCAGATTCAGGTCCCCAATCTCACTTCAATGCTCTTTCTCTTACATATTTAAACACACAAAATAAGTTATTGAATCACTAACCTTTATTGGCATCCACTCGTAGGACTGGTATGGGGCTGAAATAGGAATTTATTCGACGATAGGTTGGTGGAACTGTGAGTTTAGATATGGTGGACCCTTTGATTAACTTCTGAACCTTCACCTAGATTAGCAAAAAATTGTTTTCAGCAGACATTTTTGCCTTCACAATGAACACAGTTTCCTTCTTGTAAACAATAAATAAGATTATGAATGGTTTCATTAAGTTTTAATAAAGTAGCAATATCAGTTCCAATTTTATTGCTCATGAGTACCCGGTGCTATTGTCTACTGTCAGGAGTTGGTGTAATTTAAAATAGTTAATTAAATCCAATTAACATGTTGTGATTTCCACTATGCAGAATCCATATAGTAGTTCATAAAGGAACTATTAAGATTTTGTTCAATTTTAATGACTACAATATAAAAGTGCTAAATCTTGACAGAGGAGGTTTTGAATACAGTAAAGTTTTGTAAAGGCACATTTCCCAGGAAATAAATGTTATTTTTGAGGATAAAAACAAAACCTGAGAGAATTTAACGATAAATATACCAGTCAATATTAACAGGTTAAAGGTGAACTCTGAGTAGACTCTTGCAAATTCCAGAAATGGTTAAAGAATGATGTCTAGATCAGTTACAGTAGATGATTACTTTCTCTAAAGCCATAAAATACTTTTATTATAGTTGTGAAATATGAATTGTTTCTATTAAATGGTTTTAGATTTTAAAGATTATATGTATCGCACATAAATCACATTTAATTGTGTAGCCCAAGCACACTATTTTTACCTTTATTATATGAGGTTATGAATTACCTGGGCCCTCTCAGCAGGGAAGATGCAACTGTTTGGTATTTATAGACTGATTTAAATTCTCAAGTCATTTTCCAAACATTAATTAATTTGCATAACTTCCAAGGGAACTAGGTAATGGTGTGCTATTTAACTAATAAAGAAGCAAGACAGAAAGGTTTGTGGATTTGTTCCATGTCACATAGTAAACTCAGTCTACCCAGATTACTCAATTTTAAGGTTAATCTGATTTTACATTAGTGAAATTTGTCGCTGCACTTAGTTGTACCACATTTTATTGCTTATCAAGTTCATGGTAACCTTAAAGAAAAAGAAAGGGAAAGTTTCCTCAAGACTGGGAGGAGAAAATCACTTTGCAAAATAAATAGCTAAGAAAAGTCTGTCTGAACACTGTTACTGGGATCCCCACTACCAGGATGTGGTGCTGAAGGGGAATTATAAACAGCTACCATCTCACCAACACGAACCCTTTGATGATATTTAGTGGAGTCAGTTTAACATGACTATAAGCAGGATTTTTACTGAGAAAGAGTAACTATAAGTGCAATCTGTGTTTCCTTCCAGATGAATGGGAAGGGGAAAAGGAAGTGTGACTGGTCTTGTCTTAACAGGAACATCTCACGCACATGGTATTTTCTGAAACTTGGGTCTCGTGCATCCTCCAGGTCTCTTTGCCTCATCCTCAGCTCTCCTTGCTCCACCTAAACTTTCAGCCATCAGTACCTTCAAGGACCTCCTCCTAGTCAGGGAGCTTGAGTTAATCACCCAAGGGACTATGCTCCAGAGAGGGCACACACAAAGCTGAAGACATCCATTATCAAAAATGGTAGGTTCTCCTCCAGTGTGATTGATAGCAGGGTCAGTGAGGCAAAAGTAAATTGGAGGAAGGAGGAAAGAAAGATTCAACTTAAATAAAATTGTCAAGTACTGTGAATGTGTAAAATATAGGTTTGGCAGTTTCGCAGCACAGAGAATAGTTTATCTGGATTTTCTGAAAGCCATTGACAAAGTACACCTGACAACCTGCTCTTGAAAGCCCAAGTAGTAGGATCAAACAGAAAAAACAATGTAAAGTATGACACAGAGGAGAGGCCAGAAGGCAGATGATATCAGGATTCTGTTAGGTAGTCAACAGTTCATAAGGTTGGTTTCTTTAATTCTTTAAATTGTACCAACCCCAATAATGTAAAAGCCAGACCCAAAGACTATGCTAAAAAGATAGTGAGGGTGTGTGTGTGTGTGTGTGTGTGTGTGTGTGTGTGTGTGTGTGTGTAGGGGACATGAAACATCAACCCATTCTGCTGCCACATTCCCATGGCAAGGCAGGCTAACCATTTCTGCACTCACAGATTGGTGAGAGGAGTATAACCCTCAGCATTTACTGAGCATTTACTATATAACACTAACTTTCATACAATAAGCATTAAATTTCATGAGCAATGGAAAAGCTAAAGGCTATGGGAACGCAGAAGAGGGAGTAATTAACTCTGCCTGCTGGTATCTCAGAAGGTTTTGCAATGACTTTCAACCCTGGCTGTATATTGGAATCACTCAGGGAGCTTTTTAAAAATACCGCTGCCTGGGCTCTGGCCCTGGGCAATTAAACCAGAATAACTGGACTGGAGCCTGGGCCTCAGTATTTTTATAAAACTCCCTAGGTGATTGTGATGTGCAGCCAAGGTTGAGATAGACTGTAGTAAGTGATATTTAAATTGCATCTTAAAGGAAGCATTGAATTATATCACGTGGAGAAGAGGATGCAATTATAGATGGAAAGAAGGGCGGCAGCAAAGTAAAATAGTTCCCCAATGCAGGAAGATTTCATCAAAGGTAAGGGGCTCTTTATGGCTGGAGTATGAAGTGTGTATTGAAAGAGTAGGGTGAGGATGCACTGGAGAGGCAGGTTGAGGTTAATGCAAATTAAAGAAGCTTTCTGATTATGTTGATTGCCTAACAGAAGTCGAATATTGCTCTTCTGATTTCTCCTTTATGTCATGCTTTATATTTTATGCTAGAAACATGCTTTTTAGCTTGTATAATATGATATGAAATATCATATTATAAATAAAGCAATATCCTTGATATCTGATACTTCATCGCTGTTTCCAAAACTGTTGCTTTATGCCTAAACTTTCTATAAGAGCTCAAAATTTTTTCAAATTAAAAAAAAAGGAAAAGCTTGAAGAAGAAAACAGCAATCATACTCCTGTCAGGCAGAATTAATCATTGCAAATGTATTGGTATATTTGCTTTCAGTGTTTTCCAATGGAAAAACCATTCTGTTTTAGTATTCTGGTAAAAATGTTATGTACTCATTATAAAGATTCCAAATAATGCAGAAAAACACATAGATGAAAGTTTAAGAAACCATACCAAATGTCATTAGGTTATTTATTATCCCTGACGTCTCTGGAGTGATTGATATCTTGTTTTATAAAAATAAGATTTATATTACGTTATTAAACCTAATTTGACATGAATCTAATAGGAGGGTAAAGGGAATTAAACTCAACAAATTATTAAACCTAAAATAAATAGTTCTTTGCCACAAGATTCTTGTGAGTTAAAAAAGATTATTCTGCAAGGGTTGGTAAATATTTTCTTAAAGCCCAGATACTAAATATTTTAGGCTGTTCAAGTCGGTTATTATAGCTGGTAAGTGATAAAAACAATATGTAAACAAATAAATGGGTGAAGCTGTGCTCCAAAGAAACTTTGTTTACAAAAGCATGCAGTTAGCCCTTGAGCAGTAGTTTGTGGGCCCTGCTGCATAGTTAAATAAATGATTATGAAAAACATTAAGTTTTTTTAAAGCATGTTTTGTGTTGGATAACATATCCTAGCTTCAAAAGCCTAGAACATTAGAACTTACTTGCTACACCCATCTCCTGTCTCTTATTTCCCAATTTTTAAATTATATTATTATTTTTACATTGTCCAGATTTACAATATTCACATTCTATTTTGAAACAATAATTGCTATGTTTAGTATCAATTCTACATGTAAACAGATCCAAAGTACATCAACAGTCCTTTTGTCATAATTTCTCTGTACATGAGTTCTTTATTTTCATTGATTTCTTAATTGACTGGGTTTGGATATCAAGCATAATTTACTTCCCTCAGCCTTTATACTTGACTTACATCAGGATCATCCTCTCTTTTAACATTGTAGACTGTACTATTGTCTTCTACAATGAATATTGTGAAATGTGAGCCAGTCAGACTTTTTGCCCCTGTAGGTGATTTTTCTTTCTGCCAGGGTGTCTGAAATAGTCTGCATCTTTAAGTTTGGTGTTTAACTAGGAAATACCTCTATGTTAAATTTTCTAAATCAAATTTTCCTAGAATTCAGTGTTTTCTTTCTACCTGCAGATATAGTTCTTTTTTACTCTATAGTGGGAAATGTTCATACATCATATCACTGAATATATCTTCTCTTTTAATTGCTGGATTCTCTGTTTCAGGGTTAACAAGTATCCTTAAAATTTAAATGTTGGTTCATCTTTATATTTCATATTGTGGTAGTTACTCATTTTCTCCTGATTTCTTTTAGAAAGGCACACCTTGAGTTTTAGCTGAACACATGGCTATCCAGCTAAAGACTACATTTCCCAGCATCTCCTTTGGCTAAACATGGACACGTGACTAAACTCAGGCCAGTAAGAGGTGAGTAGAAGTGGAATGTGTAACCACTGGGTCATCTTCTTAAGAGAGATTGCCCTGAATGATCTTTATCCCGATGGGCTGAAACATGTGTATGGAGAAGAGTTAGCTTTGATCATAAGAATGGCAACATCCTAGGACCACAGGAATGAGAAGATGGAGTATCCAGATAGAAGGAAACATCTTAGATGACTTCATGGAGCACAGCTGCCCTGCCAGCCTTGGACTTCTCCCCAGTGGACTGTTTTGTGAGTGGAAAATAATTTGTCTAAGGCATTATATTTTGGATTTATTTTTATAGAGTTTAGCCTGTAACAAACTAATATGTATATTTACTAAATTCTAGTCAATTTCCTTTATCTTTTTCCTCTGCATTTACTTACTTACAGTCTTCTTCCATGGCAGTATTTCAGTATTCAGCAGTATCTATTTTTCTATTTATAGTTTATTTATAGTTTCATAAAGTATTTTGGTATTTAGTTTGTTTACTTATGTCTGCAACCTCCTTTTTTAGCTCATCCTACGTTATCATCTCATGTTCCTGTAAAGCTTTACTATAACATGGAGAAACTTTGAGAAAATTCCTTATAATTTCTCTCTTCCTCTCTCCCTCCCCCTTTTGTTACCTGTAGGCAAAATACTGAATATGTATAATGAATTGCTATGGTGACCATAGTATTATTTTGTTTTCCCTTGCATGTACTTGGGCAGCTCTGTCCAGCTATTCTTCTTGCTCTGATATATCTCCTTGCCCATTATTCAGTACTAGGATGTTTTCTCTACCATGAAAATTGGGTATTCTGGCTTCCTTCATCTTTCTGTCACTGAAGGGCTAGGGTGGGGCAAACCTCCATTTTAGGATGCATGCAGTCTTTGTTAAACTCTGTAGGTTCTCCTCTCCTGAGATTGGTGAATACCCTATATCAGGGTGAGGGTGAGGCTATCCCTCCCCAAGAGCTTTGGAACACTGCAGTGGAGTGCTAAAGACTTCACTTCTCCCAGACACATTATTTACTTCCAATTTTATTTGTTTCTTCCAAGTCTCCCTGCTAAAAGAGAAAAAAGATAAAGATGCTTGCTTGGTTGACTTCCTTCCAGATTTTGTAGTTCTTTTGAGAATCCCAGTATTTTGATAGTATATTGAAATGTTTCTGAGAGTTTAGAGGAGTTAGGATTAGAGCTAAGCTGCAGCCCTCTACTCTGCTCCAGAATCTTCTGATCCATGAATTTTTAAAAAATTTATGTGCATCCTACATGACCATATTCAGAAAACTTGACTCAATACTGTCCCACATATTATGGATGGAGAAAGTAAAGATCAGGAAGGAAAATTCTTAGAGTATAAATCTAATTAAAATGCAGGTCACTGATGGATGGACCTTGAATCTTTATAGCCAAACACAGCTCAAGTCATCAACTCTACCTTCATATCCTCAGACTAAAACCCTGTGTATCCCCTTTCTGCCTCCTTTCCAAGTATGATTTAATGTAGTTACAATAGGAGTCTTCCTTTCTCTCAGACTAAGGTTTACCAGTATTCTTTGGAATTGGAAGAAACAGTACCCCCACCCCGGACCCCCAGAGAGGCATCTATAACATAAAAGCAAACATCCTGGAGTTGGAGCACTGGATTTTAGTTCTAGCTCTATCTTTAATTAGTAGTGTGCAGGGGCTAAGTCATTTAACTTCTCTAAGTCTCAATTTTATCCTTTGTAAAACAGGGCTATTATTATCTGTAGGACAGCTGAATTTTATGTAAAAATCTGTTCCTGAAAGCATTTCATTATTCTAAACTTACATAATTCAAGACAGGCAGACAAAGAATGGCAGGTATAGCATGGTATAGAATGGCAGGTATGGCTGGCCTTTAATGTGCGAATGTCAGAAACTATGTTTCCCAGCCTTCCTTGTAGCTTCCTATGTCTTTGTGACAAGGTTTCTGGCCAGTGATATAGAAATCATAGTGATTCTACTTGGCTGGAATACAGACATAATGGTAAGAGCACAGCGGCCATCTTGGATCACAAGATTAAAAATTCTCTGTTCAAGAGGACAGATCAATAAGATACAAAGTGTGTAGGTACCTGACATTGTAGAATTGCCTTATCAGTCACAAAGAATTTATGCTCAAACTGTGATGTATAGGCTTCACAACAGAACAGTGTGCAGAAGAAAGGGTAGTGAACTTGGAGATCAACATATATTATCAAATCTGAAGAACATAAAGGAAAAATATTTTGAAAAGATTACATTTTCAGTGATTGTATAATTTATAATTGAAGTCCCAGAAGAGTGAGAGAAATATGGAAAAAGATATTTAAAGAAATAATGACCAAAATGTTACCCAATTTTATGCAAAATATAAATTTATAGATCCTAGAAGCTCAGTGAAGCCCAGGCAGGATAAACTTGAAGAAAACCACTCAGGATCATATCTTAAACAAATATCAGGTGGACAAAAACAATGAGAAAATATTGAAAACAATCAGATAAAAAAAAGTCCCATTACATCCAGAAGATCAGTGAACTACATGATGACTGATTTCTCATCAGAAAAATGGACCTTTAAAGCACGAATAAGAAGAAACCTAGTTACCTAAATTTCTTTATCAAGGCAATGTGAAGACTTTTTTTGACAAAAGAAGATAATGTATTGCCAACAGACGAATTACCAGAAATGCTTAAAGAAAATTCTTTAGGCTGACTGAAAATAATGCAAGATGAAAACTCAGATGTCAATGGTAAATATAAAAAACTACATATTTTTCTTAATTTTTCTCAAAGATAACTGATGGCTTAGTGCCAAAAAATTGTAACTTATTATATAGTTTATAATATATATAAATTGTAGACAACAATTATCACAGAGGTTGTGGAAGTAAATGGAGTTCTATAGTCTTAAGTTTCTTACATTTCTTGTGAACTGGTGCATTAACTCAATGAAATTCTAGTAAGTTAAGGATGCACATTGTAATCCCTAGAGCAACCATTAAAAATAATAAAAATGTGTAGCTTAAAATGGAATATTAAAATCTTTTTAAAATATCATGTAACCCTAGATGAGGCAGAAAAAAGAGAGAGAAATTATCGGGACAAATAGGAAACACAAAGAAAAAAAAAGTTGTCCTAAATCAAACCATGTCAACAATAAACATTAATGGAAGCGAACTAAACACTCTAATTAAAAAGCAGAGATAAATTAAAGGGTCAATTAGGCAAGAAAACGTAGCAATCATAAACATGAATGCCTTTAGCAACATTCTACGAAAAAAATTATCAGAACTAAAGGAAGAAATAGACAAATATTCCATCAGAATTGATTTTAAAACCCATTTCTAAGTAATTTGTAGAACAGCAGATTTTAAAAATTAGCAAGGATCTAGAAGATCTGAACAGCACCATCAGCCACCTTAACCTAATAGGTATTTATAGAACACTATAACCAACTGTAAGATACATTTTCTTTTCAAATAACACATGTATCATTCACCAAAATATACCCTGAGTCATAAAATAAAGTCTCAATTGCAAAAGATTTAAATCTTACAGAGCATGTTCTGTGACCCCAGTGGAATTAAATTAGAATTCAATAACAAGAAAAAATTTAAAAACACAAATATTTAGAAATGACAACAAACTCCTAAGTAACCCATGAGTTAAAGAAATAAAATCACTAGGGGAATCTGAACTGAATGATTTGAACAGAATGATAATGAAAATACGAGTTGCAAAACTTTGTGGGATGCAGCTGAAACATTTTATAGAGGAGAATGTATTGGTCTAAATGCCTTATAGAAAATAATTGATCTAAATCTAAAATAATTGATCTAAATGTCTACCTTAAGAAGCTTTTAAAAAGAGTAAAATAAACAAAATAACTAGAACGAAGAGAATAAAGAATATAACCCCCCCACCAGAGTGATCAAGAGAAAGAGAAATTATAAATTACCAACAGAAATAAAAGAAAATATTTAACTACATTTCAAATAAATGTTAAAATGATAATAAGGGAATAATTTGACTGCATTTTTTGACCAATAAATGCAACAACTTAGATGAAAAGAAAAAAAAAAAACATATAGCCTACAAAAGGTCACAGAAGAAACAGAGAATCTGAAGAGCACTGTATCTTTTAAATGGAATGGCCAAGGCACAAAGTGGAATTACACAAAGATCAGTAAAGATGAGGCATTAGAAATAAGAAAGGAAATATGTTTATGAAAAGAAAGTCAAATGTAAAGCCTATAGGAATAACATTGTATAGAAACATAAATTAAAAAATGAGGATTTGAAAACTGTAAGTTAGAAATGCACCAGTATTTCCTAATTTTATGGAGCCACAAAACTCTCCTTTATAACATCCCAAGAAACAGACATGTTTTAGAATACATTCTAAATGTATTCTTTAGAATACATTCTTTAGAATACATTTTGGGGAAAAAATTGATCTAAGGAGTATTACATAGCTAACAATTACATTATTATAATTTGTTAATATTAGACCATTCTGTAAAGTTAAAAGATACATGATAATTTGGGTTTACATAAAACTCTTTTCAATTCTGAACACAGTAGTCTCAGAATTTTTTTGATGGAGTCAGGCTGACAAGTAGTAATCTAATTATTTCTTCTTACATTTTTTTCCCTCCGTATATTTACTTGTGGTATTCCAGTCAACATCTAAAAATTCTGGAAAAATAATCACTAGGGAATAATGAAGTACTGACCAATTTACCCACATCATTCCATCCCGGACAAGAAGGAATAAAACAAGTTGTTTTCGCTTGTGATGTTTGAATACTGGTGAGTATCATAGCACATTCCCATTTAAACATCATCACAAGACATGGAAAAAGGAAGAGCAACTAGAGCACCTAGACTTTCTTGTGTAAACTTAGGGTTATATATTACAAACTGTTGCTTAGACAGAATCTACTGTCTTAACCTTTACTTAGGATACATGAGAGAAATGAGTTTAAATGGTACTTTCAGTTACAATCTCAGAAAGACTTTGTGAATGAGTTTATTGTTTATTATAATTATTTTTGCTATTGCTATTTATTCCCTTATTATAGAACAGCATGCCAGTCTCTAGGCATTTTTGCTTAAATACTGGCTAGGGTCACAAGTGAAATGAAGTTTGGTCCTCATTTACCTCATACCAGCAGTTGGGTTGGCATGCAGCAGCAGAACTGCTGGGGCTCTTTTTATTTAATTTGGCATCCCTTCCTGAGCAGTATTGAGACTTTTACTTCAATGGCTCCACTGGGCTTTGCCATAATTTCTATGCTGTATCAGTAAAGTCTACAGAAGGGATGCCTAAGCAACCTGAAAGAAGGCTAGGAGCACTGAGAGTTCAAGTAGTTTTGCTTAATTTTATGAAGGAATTAACCCCAAATATAAATGAAGCCCATTTAAAAAAATACGCTACTCACTTAGTCAAGAAACTGATTTGTAAGCAGCATTACATCATGTTACTATCATATGTGTGTGTCAGTGTTTTCGCCCTTTTGTACAATTTCTCTTGGAATAATTTTCCTACGCTAAATCAGACTATCAAAAGAAAATATAGGTCAAATTCTGTTTGAATTATATGACTTGGTCAAATTTCAGAACCTCTATGATCCTGAGTTTCCTATCTATAAATTAGGGGTGATAAACTCTCTGTCATGCTTTGAGTATTAAAAGTGATAACACACATAATAGGTACTCAACAAATGTGTACATGGAAAATAAAACTCATTCATACCAAATATGAATTGTATTTCCACAATCAGAGGAAAAAAACAGTTTCACCTGGTCTGCTTTTCTGTTTAACATGTCATGTGTTAGTGATCATAAATGGGAAAGGAAAGGAACCATGGGAAATGGGTTTTTCTCAGAATTATGAATTGTCAGAACTGGAAGAGCTCTTAGAGATGATTTTGATTCAATGCCTCAAATTTACGAATGTTCCAAGGCCCAAGCAATTTTTGATTTGCCCAAAAATTGCATAGAAGTTAATGACAGATCCAGGCATGAAGTCCAAGATAAACATGGACTTTTTTTGAAATGAGGAGTATTAGCATGTATGAAGTTACAGTGTTGTCAGTAAAGCTTCTTTAGAGTAATTTGAAAAATTGTTCTCTTTTTATGTTTTCTTTTTCTAACTTTTACCTTAATCCACCTGTAGTTTTCTTTGGTGTAGAATGTTAGGTTAAGATCTGACTTAATCTGGGCCTCCCTGGTGGCGCAGCAGGTTGAGTGCAGCGCTGTGAAGCTGTCTGCAGCCTCTGCAGTGTGGGTTCGATTCCCAGCTGGCCAGGGAAAAACCCACGTGGCGTGGCAGACCTCTTCTGCCTCGCCCCTGCTCCCCTCAGCAGTGTTTTTGGTCCATCTGCCTGTTCTGCTCCCTGCTCTCTCTGGTGAATTCTCTCACCCTCCTGTACTCCAGTTCTTGTATAAATAAAATAAGTCTTAAAAAAAAAAGATTTGACTTAATCTTCCCCCAAATGATCCAACAGCATTCATCTAACAAGGCTTCCCTTTCCGCCGACTTACAGTGCCACCTTTATTAATTCCAAGTTATTTTTTATACTAAGGTCAACATCAAAGCTCCATTTTTTTATTCCATTGATCTGTGTTAATTTTTCTACCTATAGAATGCCATTATAATGATTGTAATTATATGAAATTTTTTATATGAAATGTTTTAATGAATAGTAGGAATGAGTAGTAGGAAAGGTTAACCTTCATTAACCTTTAGGAAAACAATAAAGCCTTTGCCCATTTATTTTTCATGATAATGCATATTGGCAGATTGAAAAGAATTAATATTCCACACAAACCAAATAAAATCCATAAGAATTTTGATTGAAATTACAGTAGATATAAAAATTAGTTTGGGCCTTTTTATCAGTTTTGGTAAATTCTTCTTATCTCTATTAAGAATTTCTTGGAAAGTTACACCCTTCCTATTTAACTTAGGGAATGTTTACATAACTGACTCTAAATATTTCAAGAGAAAATCAATAGTGCTTACTATACATCTTTTCTCCAGGGGAAAAAATAGTGCTTTCTCAGTCCTTATTGTACTTTTTATTTTTGCACATCAATTTATTTTTATTTTTAATGATTTATTTTTATTTATTTATGCATACAAGAATTGGAGTGTAGGCCAGTGGTACAGGGGGCAAAGGGAGTGAGAGATTCACAAGGGAAAGAGTGGGGAGCAGAACAGGCAGATTTAATGAAATACACTGTTAAGAGGTGCAGTGGGCAAGACAGGAGGGGTCTGATGCGCCATGTGTGGGTTAGTTCCCTGGCTGAGATGGAAAGCAGTCTGCAGCAGTGATAGCAGCACATCAATTTAAATGTAAACTAGTATCAGTCTATATTGTCATGTACTTCAGTGTGTGGTGAGTTTATCTCCTTCACTCACTTCTGAAAATCAAGATCTGTTCTAATTATTTCATATCTCACAAAAATGGAAATTACACTTAACAAATTTTTGTTAATGTTTATGCATCTGATGTAAGAATTTTCTCAATAGTCTTCTCTTTTAAGATTGATTAAAGTCTCTCTAAAAACAACAAAAAAGTTTAGTTTGGGAAAAAAATGACATCCTTATTAGAATCAATTTTCCTATTCAGAAATGTCATTTTATTTGTTCAAGTGCTCTTTAACATTGCTCAGTAAACTCAAGGCATAGCATGTAAAAGCTTTAAAAAACATACAATGGTGTCTAGGAAAAAGGAAATTTATTCTACCTGAAGAGATCTGGAAAGGCATTTTTATGGCCAAAAAGAAGAATGTTTTGCAAATGTAGTCAAATGAGGTACAATAATATTTCATGATATAAATAAACTTGACATAGCTTAATTCAATTACTGAGATCCTTAATGAGTTGTTACTCAAAGTCATTAATCTCATGCACACAATCAACAGTACATTTATATTGGATTCTGACCAGTCTGGGCATTATGCTTGATGCTGGAGCTATGCCCTGGAAAAAAAGGGTTTACAGTCTAGCTAGGGAAATTTCCATCTTAAAAGTACTAGCTTTATGCTCCAACCACTATGGAGAGCTGTGTGGGGATTTCTGGACCTACTAAACATAGAGCTTCCATATGACCCAGCATGCAATTTGCAGCAACATGGATGGCGCTGGAAGGGATCATGCTCAGTGAAATAAGCCAGAAAGAAAAAGAAAAATACCGGATGGTCTCACTCATAGCAGGAATCTAGAAAACTTAAATAAGGGACCAGGAAAATGAATAACTATAAGAAAGTGAAAATCAAAATCAACAAAAAACTATGAACCAGAGACACTCTATGGGGAGTGAGGGGCGGGGGAGGGGAGGGATTGGGGTCAAAATAAGGGGATTGCAATTGTATGGGGAATATAAAAATAAAATTTATTTTAAAAAAAAGTACTAGCTTTAGAGTGTAGATAACAAATGTTCTTAAAATACAGCAAACAATTGTGTGAGGTGAGAGAAGTGTTAACCTAATTATGGCAATCATTGCATATTATATGCTGTGTATCAAATAACATTATACATTTTAAGCTTATACAATATTACGTGTCAATTATTTCTCAATAAAGTGGATGGGATGGGAGTGCCACCTTCTCTTATTGCTCTAATCCTTGAGTTAATGTAGCCTCTTACTAAGCAGTTTGATCTTTTACTTTTATTCCCAGACCAAGGCAGAGATATTTCTTCATCAAATTCCTTGGTCATCAAGAAAGCAATTTTTGGTTGGATCCCAAATCTACCTTTTGGATGTAAGTCAAAACTCTGAACCTCAAAGTCACTTGGAAGTTGTATAGAATAAGGATTAAGAATGTTAACTTGGAAGTCAGACAGGCTGAGTTTGAATTATGACCCTTTGATCTCTAGTTGTATTACTTAATCACTGTTGCCTCAGTTTCTCCAAATATAAATTGGAAGACTTAACTGGTAGGATTACTGTGAAGATTACCTGAAATAATGTATCACCCAAGAAATTCCCCAGGAATACTTTTCATTATGGACTGGTTTCCTCTCGCTTCTCTTTCTCCTGATGCATCTAGTTTCTTCTAGTCAAGGTTTCTTTCCTCCTCTGGGGAGTACAAGTACTTATATAAGAAGTACAGAGTGGTGACAAGAAAAAGACACCCCTGTTCCCATCTCTTCAGTATTAATCTGGAAAAGTAAATACATGATCAGTGTGATTGGCTCCGTGTAGAAGTTGATTTAAAAAAAATGCAGCCCACATATTGGAATGTCGTCTAATTAGTATTGTTAGAGAAACTAGATTTCAGCTGAAAGAAAGTGGTCTTTTGTAGGGGGAAATTAGTGTGAAGGAAGGCAGTGGTTCATAACACAGGCTCTCAGATAGACCTGGGTTTGAAGTGGATGCTACCATTTACTGATTGTATGGCTTAATTTCTCTCAACTGCAATTTCTTTTTCAGTAAGATGGGGGTAACATCACTCATTTCACTGGGATGAATGTGATCATGATTAGAAAAAGCTCAATATCATACAACATAATCCACACAAACAACTCCAAGCAGATTGTACTACTTATCATAAAAATTTGATTCAGAAAAGTCGAAATTTCTCAGTGTCTACAAAGCACTCATGTCAAGGGTGGTATTCATGTCTCTTTTGGCAGGAGAATCTTCACAAATGGATGCATCCGACTATAAATATGTGACACTGCTCACCATGAAGATCATCCAACTAACTACCCATAGTCAGTTTTCTTGTTCACTAAGTAGTCTTCTAACTGGACATTCTACGTGGCTTTCCAACAAGGATACAATATGCTCATCAGATCAGGCTGACTAGAACATCCAGGTCTGCTCGATCATTAATGTTCTCTTTAGAAAAAAGTGGCATTCCAGTTTATACATCAGTCTTTTGTGAGTTTGGCTGCATCCCACTCTCTTGTGAGAGGAGAAGGCCCAATTAACTTTGACAGAGTCAAATCCCTAATCCTATAAAGTCTAAGGTCATCCCCTGAGTTGCACTGAAGTGAGAGTACTGTAGGAACTTTTAGCTGCAAACTGCTGACCTTGGACTATACAGGGTTTATTAAATTATATAAGCAAACATTTAAAACAGGAGATTTCACCAAAATATGATTATAAGTTTCCAATTTCTTTGTAAAATTCAGACACAAGGCTAGAGCTAAGGCAGCTAGCTACCTCTTATGGGAGGGCTGTCTGTTCAGCATTTCACTGTAGACCTAGTCTTTCCACCCAGTTATTTTACTAAGTTATTACCAGCCCAATCCCAGCAGATTCACTTTCTTAATTCCTGTTCTAAATAAAAACACATTGGACATTTTAACTTCTTGCCATATGAAGGGGAAAGCCAGGAAGAAAAAAGCTTATCCCATAAATACCACTTTATTTTTCTCTCCCAATGATCTTAAATAGGTATGTTTGAAAAAGCACCCATATTTCAGGAATCTCATGGACTAAGGTAGTCTCCTGGCATTTATTTGTATGAGTAGATGGGATCACTGGGGGTTGGTGGGAAGTTGAGATTGGGGGAGGAGGCTGGTAACTGGCAATGAGGAAGGGGGTGATGCGGGGTGGGGAGGCAAGGAGAGGAGAAGGCTAAAAGTGTTAATGCCTCCTATTACCTACCCTTTGCTCTTGCATCCACACTCTTTCCCCTACAAGTCCTGCTTTTGACTAATGTTGGTGAGATGTGGGGCCTAGGGATAGAGTTACAGTAGACTCCTAGATGGCAGGGGTGTATTGAGCATGAGTACAGAAAGTAAGAGGGTTTAAGAGGAAATTACAGCCACCCAACTAGACTGACCAGTTCAGAGTGCCCATTCATATGCAAGGGACAGGGAGTCATATGTAAATGGTCAGGGACAGGTGCTGCCTCTAGGCAGTTTTAGTGAACATCTAAGGAATTCAGGAGATAATGCCATTCAAGAAAACTTTATAGCTAAAGGAAAAGGAAATAAAGTTTAATAACCGGTGAGGATATCAAGGGAGAGAGGTCATTCAGAGAATTCTACAACTGCCCTTCAGTTAGAGCTTCTGAAGAAGTCATCTCATTTCAGAAACTGCCTGCCTTAAACCCTTCTTTTTATGCTCTGGACTGAGATGACACAATCAGATTTCAGTGACCCATTCAAGGCCATCCATCAATTGGCCCCTATACTTCCAACCACATCTTTCGGTTTTTCCCTTCATAAAAATTCGAGAGGATCAGGCAAAGCTCTAAGCCATCCTCCATTACTGTCATTATTCTTCACCTCTGTTTCTGCTTGTTTTGCTTTCAGTGCTTAAAGCATATGCTACTTCTCCTTTCAGCCATGTCCATCAGTTCCTCTAAGGCCTGTTTAAGGTTTGCCTCCATCCATCAGTTACACTGATCACAACTTCATCTCCACAAGTCTCCAAAAAGACATTAATCTGGGAGCCACACAATCAGGACTGTGGCCCAAAGGATGACTGAACAAGCCAATTTGTCTTCTTAGTGTATAGATGAGAAATCCCAGCCTGTAAGGACAGAGTGATGTGCCTATGATGACTTGACTTACTAGAGCAGCAGCAGACACAGGTGAGCACCCATGTCTTCTGACTCTTGTCTTGATCTATGGTTCTTTCCAATAAAGTGTGCATGGCTACTTTCAGATCCCTTAGTTGCCAACCACACAGATTCATTCTGGCTGTCACTGAAAGTAGAAGTGGAAACCAAAAGACTAGATAAATTGGGTATTTGGGGGCATATTGTTCCAACTTTATAGCCTAATGAATAAGATCTCCAAAAAATATCTCCTGGGTTTATATTACACATTCTAATTCAGAGGTTATGCCTTTTTTTTTTTCAAGCGTAGGGTAAACCACTTGAGTCTATGGGTACTTACTTCTAGTCTAGCAAAGAGGTTTTAAAAGGCTAGGAATGTATTCTTGAATTCAAGTACAGTTTAAGGTACAATGGGTTAGGATATTGAAGAACACAGCAATAGTATTTATTCATCTCAAGTACCTCTCAGTAGATAATTAACCTAGGCTAAGAAGAAAACAACTCTATTAGACCCATTTCTCTTGTGGCTAATGCTATTGTGCTCTTTACTGTTGTATTTTCCTTTGCTTCATTTTAAACAGAACACTTAACTATAATATTGCAAGCATTACCACTTCTGTAGCTGTTTCATTTTCCTTCTTGCAATAGAAAAGAAACAGTGGTTTTATGAAAGCATGAAGTTTCTTCTTCTTTTTTTTTTTTTTTACTCAAGAAGATGTAATTCTTAGGAAAAATCTCATGTAAGTCTAGATATTTCCACTTTTTGGCAGGTTTCCTGGACCAACTACTAAGAGGGGATCTTTCCTCTATAAAGAATGAAGGATTTTTAGGCTACTACTCTATTCTAGTATATATACTTTACCCAATACTGGATATTTGTGTGAAAGAATAGTTGTATCATAGACTTCTAACTTTATGTGTGTATATGGGAGTTGGGGATGATCGTGGACTCCATTGACAGTGTGATGAAATCTATGGGCCACTTCTCAGAATAATTTGTTATAAATTCATAAAATAAAATACAGTGGAATCTGATTGTATTGAAACGCAGTTCTAGTCACAGGCCTATTATACCATAAAGCTATCACAGAGCTCACTCAAGCTCCTCCATTTACCTAATTTTTGGCTCTCAGAGTGGAATTTTGAGATTAAAAACACATTATTTTAGTATAGAGATAAAACAAACACCAAAACTCAAGTTCAAAACGCAAGTCACAAAGTGCAAAGGGTCTGGACCATATCAGGGAGTAGGCTAGCTAGTTAGCAAGTGGCTGCTGACCTGGGATGATTCCAGGGCAGTGCAAAACCTCTCTTCCTACATCGCCCAAATCCCTCTTCTCCTTGTCCACTCATGCTTGAAATCCCTTAATAGAGTCTAACTCCTTTGGTTTAATTAAATAGAGGATTTACTCTTGTTAAAAAGCAAAAACCCTAGGGAGAGGTAATACTCTATGCCAAAGATTTTCAAATTTATTTTCAGCAGCCTAAAATATGCAACCTTAAATTGAATGCTGATATGTAAATAAATGTAAATTTTAAGACTTTAGTGTGGTTTAATATGTTGAATTATATATAAATAATACGAGTTTATATATATAACTTACATATACTTTCATGTATTTATATATAAATCAACACTGAAAATGATGAGACTATTTTGATGAAGGCAAATTATGAACTCCAGAATTATAGGTAATAACTGCAGTCATACACCCATGACAGCATACAATTTATTTCTGTTATTTTGCCAACACAAGATGGAGAAAATTTTGATGTAAACAGATAATTTCGAATAGCTTACAACCTCAGGATTTCTTCAACTAAAAAGATCCAGAAGGCCTAAAGAATAGTACGACTTTTTTGTTTTGACTATAGAATCACTAACAGTATCTAAAACTGCTTTATGTTCCTTAGTAATTAAAGAATTGTCGGGTAAGTCCTCAATTTGGGGAAATTTGACAAGTAGATTCGATTTGTAAATAATTTGAATTCTAATTCTCTTACTTCATAACTTTAGGCAAGTAGCTTAATCTTAGTTTCAGTTTCCTCCTGTGTAAATGGTTATAAAAACAGCATCTATTTTATAGGTATCAGAGTTGAATCAGAGAGTATTCATAAAGTACAGAACAGCGTCTGGTGCACTTAATAAACATGATTATTATTGATTAAAATTATTGATCAAAAGTACTTTTTTTTGGGCCTCCCTCGTGGCGCAAGGGGT